GAACAATTTACTTCAGTGTACCTAATTATTTGCTAAAATATACTCATTATAACTTGGGTGACTACAACTTTTGATAGAATACAATAACTAAAATTTAAAAATAGCAAATACGTAAGACAATTAAGATGGCATAATGGCGCTAGGTATAAAACAGTCCAAAATAAAGTCGACTCATGTTCGAATCCACACAATTCAATTTTGGGGAGGCTTCTTTAAAAAAAAAAAGTAACATGTAAAGTTGCAAACTAAGAAGTATATTTCTATTTTGCATATTATTAACAAAAAATACATCACCTAAAATTTATGAAATTAGTATGTTGATGTGTATGTAAAATATATTGCTTAAAATGACAACTAATCTCAATCACATTGTTGTGACATGTATCCTACAAGAATACAATAGCAATTGTTAAGACGATTGTTCCTCCCCAAACAAGATATTTGCCCAAGTAAAACCAAATCCTTGGAAGAATTTTGTGTTTACCATGTTTATTTAATTCTAATTAATACAACAATTAGCTTATTATAGAAGTTTATAGTGTTGATATATATATATATAGTTTGATGGGGTCTTTTCATAACAACACTGATGAAAAATTATTTATTTAATCACAGATAAAGTTTTGTCCATTTTTAAATTCCCTCAAAATTACATTGAGATTTTTCGTTGAATCTCATACCCACAATAAAATCGGGGACCCATCGATAAGGCTAGTAAAAGATTTTTTGTTATTGCATCACGAAAGTTATTTCTAGACAAGTGTACCAATTACTTCACTCTTTTTGTTTGTTCTATCTATTGTACTATCTATTAAAAAAATGGTCGACCATGTTGACCGTATTGAGATAATGTTTTGTAAAAAACAAATATGTGAATGCTAAAAAATAGAAGCATCGCACAAAAGATAGAGTTAAAGTGAAAAGAATAATAAAATGAAATTGTATTAAAAAAAAAAAAATACTCATTAACAGAAAAAACTAAATAACCATCTTAGTGAGCCAAACTAAAGGGTTGTTACTTTTTTATTAAAAATTAATGAGTCTAACAAATTAGTCACTTGATCTCAGTATTTATATGATTGTTTCTTTATGTCTTACTAGCTAGACACAATAACTTTATATATATACCAAAAAATACAACTTTATATATATATATATATATATATATATATATATATATATATATATATATATATATATATATATATAATACACACACCAACTTTTCATTTTATTTTCCATGAATAATGTTAAGATTGTTTAATATTATGAAAACTGTTTGTTGAAATTTATAGGTAAAATGGTCTTTAATCTTATTAGACAAGTTATTTACTGTTGGATCTTATCTTTACATCATATAATCCAACCAGACAATCATTACATATTCAGCCATTTTTTGATTTTGTGAAACCCCCAAACATTAACATCTTGTAGCAACGAACAATTCAACGTTTGATTCTGGAAGAGGAAGGCTAACTACATGAAGGAGGTACCTTGAATAAATCTAGTGGAGACGTGGAGTAAAAACCAAAGAAGTTGATATCACGAAGTAAAGTTAAATAAACATTTTTCAAAGATTTCAGAGTAAAAAAAATGTTATATTTTATATGATTCTTGAAAAACAAGAGTTAAAAAAGCCCAAACATAATGTTTAAAAAGACGAGTAAAAGTAATCAACTACAATTGTCTTAATTCCAAAACATCAATTAATAATTAACAATGATTATGTTTCATAAGGGAAAATGATGAATGAAACCATATATATTTAATAATGGTTATGTTTTGGTTCTTATAAATTAATATTAATTTGAAGTAATAATTCGAAAATTGTTTACAAATAATTTCTCAATAATATAAAACTTACTTTTTAATAATACTATAATGTAGAAGTGACAGGAGCAGAATCACTACTAGAAATAATGCCACCATCCCCACCACCTGCACCATCATCCACCGACGTATTTGCTGCCTTTGCGGTGGTGCTCGGCGTACTGCCACCAGCTCTTTTTCTCTTCTTCTTCTCATATGGAATACCTCTAGCCTTGGCTTGACTATCTTTCACCTCCCTCAAATATATCCTCACAGCTCTAGCACCAAACGGGTTTGACTCCGGTTGGCCGCCGTTCTCCTCGTACGCCGCCCTGAGCCGGCCGATGAGCGCGTCGAGGCTCCCCCAAGCTTGTTTCAGTGGACAAGCACACGGCGCCGGTGGGTTTGGGTAGCCAAAGTAAGGACATCCAGTCACATGAACCTTCGTCTTCCCGAACTGGTCGAGGTACTTGAGGAACTCGATCACGTGGGCGCCGCTGCACCTCGCTAGCGTCAACGGTGGTTTGTGGTTCTTTAAATACTGCAAGAACGTGTTCCAGTCACGGCGCTTCTGCGACTCGTATCTGCTGAGTGATTGTGTTGCCGTGGCTTGTAACCTTGATCTTCCGGTAGGTGACTCAACTGCACCACCAAGCTGCGATGGACCTGGAGGTTCTCCAGGGTCGTGTGAACCGGATCCTGATGCCAAATCCATAGTTGGGAAGATTCAAATTTTCTGTTTTTGGGTTGGATTGATTGATTGATTGTGGAAGAAGGGTGGTGGAGAGAGAGAGAGAGAGAGAGAGAGAGAGAGAGAGAGAGAGAGAGAGAGAAGATGATGGGACGTAATATAGAAAAGTAATATGAATGAAGGCTCCTCCTTCTCGCCAAGGGCAAGACTCAAGAGAGTCTTATTATTCTTGTAGGATCCACAGTTCCTTTTTAATATGTTGAGGGCTATTTTTGCATGGTTTAACTTCCATTTTCACAGGAAAGCCTAGTTGTGAAATGAATGCGTGGCACAAGTTTTTGGTATATACAAGGTCTAAATGCCAATTAAAAAAAAAAGTCTAATTAAATTTTGTTACAACGAATTTATATCCTATATAATGTAAGGTTGTTGGGTATGAGTAATATGTTATTACATGTTATCACATCTAAAAGGTGCTACATCATCATTTTAATCATAAATGAGTGTTATAACATTAAAGGTGAAAATGAGAAACATCAAATAACATGTAATAACAACACTTATTTTCTTTTTTATTTTTTAATTTTTTTAATGATTTTACTTTTTATATTTTCAAATTTCTTTATTTTTTATTTATGTCACAATATAATTATAATATAAATTAAATCTTAAATTAAAAATAACATTTAAAAAATAATGATAAAAAATTACATTTTCGATCTAAATTACAACTAACGATAAATACCAAAAAAAAAAAAAAGACAACAAATTAAATTTTCGATCTAAATTACCCAACTTCACTGCCATCATAGATATGATATGCCAAGTCTTCTCGAAATTGTTTATGTTTTTGTTGATCTTGGATATCAACGACTCTATGTAAGTATTATGTTGTCTCTGGTTGAAATTGAATGGATCTAGGTTCCGTAGGTGAATACTCCGCAATGTTTCTTACTTATCTTCAATCACCATGTTATGCATAATAATACATGCATACATAATATCTCGTAGTGTGTCCAATTCATATGGCCGTGCTGCATGTTCAACTATGTGTCATTTTGCTTTCAGAACTCCAAAAGCACATTCCACGTCCTTACGTGCTCATTCTTGTCTTCTCTTGAAAAAATTATCTATTGGTTCTATCGGGTGTTGAAACGCCTTCACAAACGTAGAATATGTTGGATATATTCCATCCGTGAAGTAATACCCGAAATTATACTTATGGTCATTTACTGTGAAAGGAGCATCCGGTGCCTTTCCTGTCAAAAGGTCCTGAAATATTGGTGACTGATCAAGAACGTTTACGTCATTGTTCGAACCCGCAACTTCAAAAAAAGCATGCCAAATCCATAAGTCTTGTGATACAACCACCTCTAATATTAACGAATGCAATCCAAGATGACCACTTGTGTATTGACCTTTCCACGCCACATGACAATTTCTCCATATCCACTTTGTGCAATCAATGCTTCCAAGCATTCATGGAAAATCATGTCGTTCTTCATGCGACACATATAGTTGTTGTATGTCATTCAATGAAGGTTTGCGCAAGTATTTGTCACCGAAGGTTTTGATAACACCTCTCGCCAATACATACAAACTTTCTCGTTCATTTCACTCTGATATTCTCATATAGTCATCAATAGAATCGGACGATTCTCCTAAAGCATTTAGCTCGATTGCAACAACACATTTTTGCAACCCTGTAAAACTTCGTTTACCTCTCGCATCGTACCGCAGTTGGAAATATTCATACCCAAAAACATATAATAAAATTTTCAAACAACTTTTTAATAATCTAAAAAACATATAATAAAATTTTCAAACAACTTCACAATAATCTAAAAACATATAATAAAATTTTCAAACTACTTCTTAATAATCTAAAAAACATATAATAAAATTTTCAAACTACTTTTTAATAATCTAAAAAAAATATAATAAAATTTTCAAACAACTTTTTAATAATCTAAAGGAAGTATAATAAATTTTTAAAGCAATATTTAATAATCTAAACAACATATATTAAAATAGAAAATAATTGTAATTACGTTACCTTGTTTCCATTGCATTGGCTATTCGTTGAAATACATTTTTTTGCAAACGAAATCTTCTTTTGGAATCGTTTGCTTGGTAGACACAATTATCCGCAAAATAATCGTGTACTAGACGTCTATGCCCCTATTCACAATCTCTGTTCAACGCTGCATGTTTGGTCAGTAGTGGAGCTGGCTCTTGAGGTATAATGTCGGTAACATATTGATACATCATACCCACAAACATATCATCCTCATCGATATCATGATTGTATGGATGAAACGGATCAAAAGGTTCCATTTTTTAACAGTGTAAGAGAAAAAAATGAAATTGAAAGGATCTTATATATGTTGAAAACGATTTGTTTGGGTTGGAAAATAAAATGAAGATAAATGTGGTGTATTTATATTAATAGAGATTTTTTTAAATGTTGTGACCGTTTGCAAACGGTTGGATTTTTAAACGTTGCACCAATTGGATTAGTCGTTTCCTCTCGTCACCACCATAACGTACGCTAACATAGTACCTAATAACGCCAAGTGAGCACGGTGTTTCGCATGTTATAACGTCGTTATATGGCCTCCATGTCAGATTAACACGAATACGTGTTGCCCATACCTACCCGTCTAAGACCTTTAGGTATACCCTTCACGAAGGGTTTCATGGTTGACGTGGCATCGACCACTAACCACAAACACCATCCTGGTGCTTAGTGGTGGGTAATGGTTGTGATGAACTGTGTATATGCCAGGAACACCACATCCAATTAAATTCTTTCTCTCTCTATCTCTCTCTAACTCTTTCTACATCTCTCTTTATGTTGATTTGTCGTATAAAAGCGTTTTTAGGCCACATGGCTTGTGAAATTCAGTTCGATTTGGGTACAGCCTTTGGGATGCCTTCATTGGTTCATCTTCGAACATGGCATTCAATCAAGGTTGACTATTCGTTGCGGTCAGGGGCAAAACAGGAAAAGTTGTATCGGGGTGGGGCGAATCAAAATTTTTAAAAGAAGCACTAAAAAATTTATTCCATTCAACGTCATTAAATATAAAAAATATCAAACAAAAAAATTAATATAAAATGCTCTAACATCACTCATTAAAGTGGAATTCGTCGATCTTTTACGTCTTTAAAGCCTTGCACAATCATCTCTAAAATAATCTTTTCTACAAGCCTTTCGAAGTACAAAATCAACGGGTCTTTCAAAAATTCATCTTCCATTTTATTCTGTAGCCTTGTTTTAACAAGACTCATTGCTGAAAATGATCTCTCTGTTGTAGCAATGAAAACCGGAAGAGCGAGTATAAGACTAACTACTCGATAAATAAGATAAAAATTGGTTGCTCTTATAGTCTTTATCAATGATTGAGACAAGTCTGAAATAGATATAAATTGTTTATAATCTTCATGTCGAACGACATCCACCTCGTAATGTTGAAGTTGCATCTTCAAAAGATTTTTCTCAGTTTCATTGAAATCTTCAGGATAAAACTTTTCTACTAATTGACATACATCACCACTTCGAAAAGGCTCATTAGAATTTTTAGGATCTAAAATTGTTGAAAGATGGAGTAACTCCATCGATCTATCATCGAACCGATGATCTAATTCCATTAACTGACAGTTAATTACTTCGGTGAAAATATCTACTCGATAATGATGTTTAAGTGTATGATCGCTATCCTCATTACGCGCTCGAGCCCCTCTACTAAAGTAAGAAGAAGACAAATCAGGGATATTGATGTTGCGTTCAAGACAAAATGACTTAACATGAGCTAGAAAACTATCCCATCTTTCATCATTCATTTTTTGCAATAGCAATTTGGTGGATGTAACCAGCCTCAATGCGTTCAGTATATCTTGAGATTGTCTTTGTAAAGCTTGGCAAAGTAAATCTGTGATCTCCATTATTTCATTCTCAAGATGTAGAACAAAAATGAATTCAAATGTAGTAATAGTCTCGTATTTTGAGTATGCATCTCCTTTGATCGAACCAGTGCCACCCTCAATAATTTTAAGTAAAACCTCACAAATTGAACTAAATATTTTTATTAAGCGTGAAACCAATTTCAAGTGAGAACCCCATCTGGTATCCCTAACCAGTTGTAAAGCACCAATTTGATTGAGGCCTCTACTAGTTTCCAACTCACCAATAGATTTAAAACATGCCATTTTTTTCGGCTTGTGCATTTCTTAGTTGGTCGAAGCACTTGGAAGAAGCACCAACAACATTAATAACAAAATATAATTTATTAAAAAACCTTTTGCACTGCAATAACTCTTTATGAATCAACCATTAATGCTAATAGCAATCGATAAGCAATGAATGTAATATGGAGATGGACAATCCTTTGAAATCAATGCCTGCAACCCTTTGAAATGACCTCGCATATTGCTGGCATCGTCATACCCTTGGCCACGAATCGACTTAAAATTAAGATTGTTATGTGTCAATAGAAAATATATTCTATCCTTCAGAGTTTGTGATGTAGTGTCAGGAACATAAAAAAGGCCAAAGAAATTCTCCATAATAACTCCATCTTTATTTACGAATCTCGAAACAATAAACGTGTATTCTCTGTTAGACTCATCACGTGCTTCATCAACAAGTAAACAAAATTTTCCACCATCAATTTCCTCACTAATCATCCGTCTCACCCTATTAAAGATAAGGTTTAAAATCCCCTTTTGAATTGTTGGTGATGTATATGATGCATCTTTAGGAGCAGTATGAAACAATTCTTTCATCTCGTTGTTAAAAGAACAAATTGCCTCCAACATTTCATGGAAATTTCCTTTGTTAATGGAATTTGGTCTTTCATTATGACCTCTAAATGCAATTGCTTGAAAGGCACACAAACGAACTGCATAAATAATGTAAGGTTCCATTTTCACAACCAAAATTTTTCATTTTTATTAAGGTAAAACTTCACAATTTATAATTCCATTATTAAGAAAAATGTTTATTCCAAATTACATTTATT